TGTTTGATAGATTATTGAGAATGGTAATATCATCCAAAAATAAATAAAATGACAGTTGAATGACCAACAAAGACAACTGAAGACAATAGTTCGTCATTAGAAGTTATTTAGTATAACTTTATTCGAAAATCCGTCATTAGAAGTTATTTAGTATAACTTTATTCAAAATCGAGTTGCCGTCCCTGGCGTTGTCAGTGACGTCGTATAATTTGCGTGCGATTTTTACCAATTAACCCCTAAGTAAAATGTAGTTGAGCCATGTAGTACCTTGCAAATAAGCCCAGAAACCCGATAGTTAGTTGAATGTTTATTGGCAGCGTCCCTTCGCTGCCAAAAAAATAACCAGAACATTATGATTCAATACGGTATGTATTTTGGTATATCATCAGTTAAGTTTATTTCTCATCATCAAAACATTGTACAAAACAGATAAAATTCGCACAAGGAAGGACAAAAAATATTACAATAATAGATGATGCAAGAATGGTCTATGAAAGTTTTTTTCAAGAAGTAAAACTTAATTCCAATGTGGCACTACATAAAACAAATTATAAACATGAAAGTGTTGAATGCGGTGAAGATGAGGCTAAATTGTCTTAGAAGTTAAAAAAGCGAAAGAAGAACAACATTATTATTAATAATAATAATAATAAAATATAAAAGCAGTAAACATTAAATAATTAAAACTTTAAAATACACTAGACCAAATGAGGCCAAAATATTTATGTCATAAAAGTAAAAAAGCGCGAAAGAAAAAAAAAACACTTAATAAAATAATAATAATAATAATAATAATAATAATAATAATAATAATAATAATAATAATAATAATAATAATAGTAATAATAGTAATAATAAAAACAACAACAATGCAACATACAAATTCAATAGTAAGAAGAAGAAGAAAAGAAATTGGGGGAACACAATATATACAATATAAAACCAACATTCAAATAATTAAATCCTTAAAATACAGATGAGTCTAAACAATTTTTGTCACGAAAGTAAAAAACGGGAAAGAAAAATAATAATAATAATAATTAATTAATAAGATTTTAAAATAACCAAATAATTCGTCACGGATATGTAAAGTAAAAAAAAAAAAAACGGTGGCGCTTCAGTCTTGGCATTGATAGGCATTGATTTGCTTCTTTGCCGTTTTGGTCTACCGGTATGCCTATTACCGTTTTGGTAGTTGACATTGCCGTTTTAGTCTGTTGCCGTTTTGGTACTGTACTTCAATTCATTGCGTTTTGGTTTTTTACCGTTTTGTCCAGAAACCGTTGGAAGTTGTGGGCTGGCTTGTATGTTTGCTCACTAACAGAGTTGCCATTTGGCCTTTTTGACGGCCAGATTCCTCAAATCTGGCCGTATAAAAATTTACCTGGCCGTAACATCAGAAAAGTCACTGCTAAACTATATTTGGCCGAATTTTTGAAAAGTTTACATTTTTTTCAATATAGGCCTAATATAACGTAGACTTGTTTTGGATATGTTGTTTTTGTTAGATTAAATTCTATATTGATTCTAATCATGTACATTTTGTTTGTACTTGCACTTAACACTTAGTCTAGGCCTATCACGGACCCTAGCCGATTTGACGTACCGGTAATAGAGTTAACAGTTACATTTAATCATTTAAATTGTTCGGATGAAATATATATAATTTATATGAAGTTTATACTCGTTTAAGCTTTATGAGGGAGGACAGTTCAATGCAAGTTTGTACCATATAGGACCTATTGTGTGTCTTTGTATATATTCCATTCCTAGTGGAGGTTCCATTTCTTTTGAATCTCTTTTGAATATAAATTAAATACTGTAGGCCTACTTCAATTAATTTACTATTGCCCAATTGTATAGGACTAGGTGCTGCAGTGTTCTTTATGTAGAGCGCCATAATAAATGCTCGATGTGATCATTCTGGTGCTATAGCATAGTTACCAACCTGAGAGATTTGAAATGCGTGAGTGACTACACCATTTGGATCGGGAGGGGCCGGGGTCCATAGGCGGAGCCCCGCTGGGGTCGATGGGGCGTGGCCCCAGGCGCTCTGACGATCGGAGCATTAAAGCTGTTTTAAAACGATTTCATGGAGTGTGTGACAATACCGGGTACATAAGCAGAAATATTTTGAGTTTCAATGTAATTGAGCACGAACTATTTTGACCTAAACATTTCACTAATAAATTTTTAGTAACGCATCAGTAAAATACCGTAAATATTCACGTAAATACTAAGTACTCTCTAATGACTCAAGTTACTGCATGATCGTTTAAGTTTTTTTTAATAAAACCAATTTCTTTTAATTTTAAATACATTTTCACCTGAATTTGTGATAATTCGTTATCACGCATAGATTTGTGCTAAATGCATGACAAATTATGGAACACGCATGTGTTTCTGCAAAATGCGTGTTTCATCCAATTTCACTTTGAAATGCGGGACCGTCCCGTACGATGCGAGACAGTTGGTAACTATGCTGTAGATCGACTATAAATGTACCTTAATATTTAATACATTTAAATCAAATTATAGATAAATCTTAATAATTAAAAAAAAAAAAAGAAAGAAAAAATTAATCACCCAAAGAAAAATTGATCGCCCAAACGCATAGGTTACTTTCGGGCGTTAGCAAGTAAAGACCATAGGGCCTAGGCTATTTAATATGATGTAGCTGGGCATGTATTTTATAGTGATAATTAAAAGAAGAAAAACAGTGGAAGTTTAACATTGTTCTGTGTATATCATTTGAATTTCTTCAATTTCAAACGAATGACAGCTGATTTTCAATTAATTTTGGTAGTATTTCAAATGAATATGTACTACCCACTGTTGTCTTCTAATCGGATTAAAATCTGGCCGAATTTTGGCCGATATCGAAAAAAAGTTTAGCCGAATTTGGCCGTGAGATGGCGTGTGTTTGGCCGTGAAAAGCCAGACGACGTGAATTCGAAGCCTGTCGACTATCTGGCAACCAACCCTGGTTGGCTGGCTTATTGTAGAAGCAAGTTTGTTGCACGTTTGTTTCTTCTCTAGTAAGTACTCATTCGTTATGTGCTAAAAGTATCTAGAAAATTGGTCATAAAAAATCCTTGGGAGTAGGCCTAGTTCAGAAACTAAATCAACTCGTTGCGGCGCTACAGCGGGCGCTTATATTGTACTCTATTTCTTCTACTCTGTATATAGGCCTAGCCTACTAGGTAGCTGAAGGCTTGGATTGGATGATCGGCTGGGAGGTACTGTAGACCTATTAACCTAGCCAACTCTTGGTACGGGGCCCAAACGACACACTACCTATTCTGTCATACGAAACCATATTTGTAAAGGACAAATCATGTTTTTTAATATACGAAACTTATTTTGTCTTTACAACAAAACATGTTTTGTAAAAGACAAGACCATGTTTGTCTGTACAAAACGTGTTTTGTAAAAAAGACAAAACCATGTTCGTCTGTTACTGTACAACAAAACATGTTTTTTGTAAAGACAAAACCATGTTTGTCTGTACAAAACATGTTTTGTAAAAGACCAAATTATGTTTGTCTGTACAAAACATGTTTTGTAATTTAGACAAAACATGTTTTGTAAAGACAAAACCATGTTTGTCTGTATAAATGTGTTTTGTAAAAGACAAAACCATGTTTGTCTGTACAAAACATGTTTTGTAAAAAAGACAAAACAATGTTTGTCTATACATTACAAAACATGGTTTGTAATACTAGACAAAACATGTAAAGACAAAAACCATGTTTGTCTGTACAAAACATGTTTTGTAAAAGACCAAACTATGTTTGTCTGTACAAAACATGTTTTGCAATAGACAAAACATGTTTTGTAAAGACAAAACCATGTTTGTCTGTACAAAACATGTTTTGTCTTTTACAAAACATGTTTTGTAACAAAACCATGTTTGTCTGTACAAAAAATGTTTTGTAAATGACGAAACCATGTTTGTCTGTACAAAACATGTTTTGTAAAGACAAAACCACGTTTGTCTATCAAAACATGTTTGTATGGGACAGACATGGTTTTTCGTTCACTCAAACACAAAACATGTTTTGTCTCTTACAAAGCACGTTTTGTAAACGACAAACATGGTTTTGTCTTTTACATATTCACCCCCACACTTTTTATTCCCCCAGCCATGGTCGATATCAGATTGAAGAATTTGTGTTGTTTAAAAAAAATGTCACCATGACGTGTACAACTGCATAGAGAGATTTTACAATTTTCTTATCATCCAATGCTGATAAGAAATTGCTGATATGAGTAATTGCTTATGATATTGAAGTGTTAATCCTTTAATCCTATTACTGGCTCTATAGGCAGTGTAGATCATTAGCCATTAAAAATGTCATCTCCTAAAGTGTTGTACTCTGAATTTTAGTTAAAAGCTAGGTTCATACGGGATTATAGCCAGATGAAGTAGCTGATCTACTTGCCAAGTTAATTGGATTAAATCCACTAATCGTGTTCGACGTTAAGGTTTAGAGCGAGATATTTTGACTACCAGAAATTGGGAAAACACATCATTAGACAGGAAGTACAATCGCATGGTGGGTAATTACTGTTGATTTTCGCGCGACTAGTTTATGCTTGATCGAGACTATAGGCGTAAGCTAGGCCTAGGTCTCTGGGGTTGATTAGACTGGCCGAGGAGTCCAGCTGGAAGGTTTACAATGGGTTTTCCCCCAAGTATTTCGTTTAGTCTGTGGTAGTGTGGGCATGCCGATTTCTGGTCATCCCTTATTACATTGGCCGACCCCTTGCCCGTCCCACGAATAAAAATGTCTCTCACAGCCTTGTGGTCTGCTCTTAGATTTTTCAACTTTGTCACAACAATTGCCGATGTTATGCTATTGTGGCCTAAGTCCCGCATTCTCTCTGCTATCCTTTCGTGGACACCAGCCTTCTGACGATACAATATATCTTCAACTTTTTCGGCGATTTCTGGCTCCCTCCAGATATCTATTAAATATTCCTGCGCATACGTCCAGAGATGGCGTTTCTTTACTGACTTTTCGGCCATCATTTGCAAAATAAGACTTGTTGAAATTAAAGTACACAAATCAGGGAGACTGCATCAATTCTGAATGGTGTTTATGACAGTAACTAATAAACGCGCTAACCAGCAAGCATGGAAGGTCACTTTGCTTCAATTTGATTGGTGTATTCGTGACCTGTGGCCACCCGCTGTTTAATTGTTTACTGGCTCTAGGCTGGATTAAGAAGTTAGTCGACATAAATTTACTTGACAGGCTTAGTCGAGTTGTGGCCTTCATCTCGCCATACTTGAGCGGTCATACTCAAACTTATGGCGAGATCATCTAGCTCATCCACTAAAATTATCTCGCCATAGTTGGATATGAACGGGGCTACTATCATTTATGTTTTAAGTGATATTAGAATTAGTCATCATTTTTAATTTCTTCAGTTTAATGATCACAGTTTGAGAACAGACCTAGTAAGTAGGCCTACGTACGTAGCGAAGGCTGCGACCTAGGCCAACATAAAAAAAAAAAAAGACCAAACTGTGTTTGTGTGTACAAAACATGTTTTGTAATAGACAAAACCATGTTTGTCTGTACAAAATGTGTTTGTAAAAGACAAAACCATGTTCGTCTGTACAAAATGTGTTTGTATTAAGACAAAACCATGTTTGTCCATACAAAACATGTTTTGTAATAGACAAAACATGTTTTGTAAAGACTTTAAAACCATTTTTGTCTGTACAAAACATGTTTTGTAAAAGACCAAACTATGTTTGTCTGTACAAAACATGTTTTGTAAATGACGAAAACATGTTTTGTCTTTTACAATAGGTATCCCAATGAAGCCATTTTGAGTGCATACAGTTTTCAAAAATTTGTGAGATTTGAAAAAAATGACACGATTTTGATGTTGAAAATACTATACTCATTGTGAATGTTTGCCAATAAAATTTATATATTTTGGAAAAGCATGTTATAGTGTTCACTTACACATGTTTTTTAACAAGATTGATGTAGTATTTAATGAGTAAAGTGCAATTTTAAAATGTGCTGAAAAACCTTGTGAGCCAAATTTGCGCACATAAAAAAAAAACATTGGGAAACCCCCTTTCAAACTTCAAAACATGATCGCTTGATGACCGTCAAAGCTAGTGGAATGATTTTTTTTGCATGTTATCAGGCTTTAAACAAGCTTTATTTTGATGTGTAAACCGTCTAAAATTGATGTGTTCATCCACCACAAAAAACGAAATTAGTGACAAAGTTCGTATTTTGAGTGATTGTTCATGAACAAAACCGATCGAAAATACCACTAAATAAAGCTAGATCTTATTTATATCTGAACTATCATTTAATAACAGATTTTGCATGGTCATCAAGCGAAAACATTTTGAAATACTGTGAATTCGGGAGTAAAATGATTTTACAGCCTGACACATCCTCATTTCATTTATTGCAAAATACTGTAAATAAAATTGCTTACCTCTCAACAAAAGACAAGCACTGTAGGCATAATTCTGAGCATTTATATCTGAACTATCATTTAATAACAGATTTTACATGGTCATCATGCGAAAACATTTTGAAATACTGTGAATTCGGGAGTAAAATGATTTTACAGCCTGACACATCCTCATTTCATTTATTGCAAAATAAATAAAATTGCTTACCTCTCAACAAAAGACAAGCACTGTAGGCATAATTCTGAGCATTTATATCTGAACTATCATTTAATAACAGATTTTGCATGGTCATCAAGCGAAAACATTTTGAAATACTATGAATTCGGGAGTAAAATGATTTTACAGCCTGACACATCCTCATTTAATTTATTGCAAAATAAATATAATTGCTTACCTCTCAACAAAAGACAAGCACTGTAGGCATAATTCTGAGCATGGGCCGAGGGGACGATTCCCTTCTAGAGGATCTCTGAGTTGGCGAAATTTTTGGGACGGGAAACTAAAACCCTCAATTTTTAACTCAGTTTTTACAAGATTTGAGTTTTATGCACATTATCTCCATCAGTGAATGATTTTTAAATTACTTTAACAACTTTAAATCCCAATTTAACTACCCTTTCTTAACCTGTCTAGATTGCCTTCCCCATACGTGCAAACGAAATAAATAGACTAGCCCTTTTTTAAAGTCGGCCTAATGGCTGCTGTTCGTATTCGTACTGGAAAGTAATTACTAGTCTTGAAGTCCAGACATTTCCTGTCGTCTAACTAGACTAATCATCTAATAGCTGTGTGCCCAAAGTCTATAAATGTGTCTGGTATTTATAGACTACAGTGAAAATTTATATTGTAAACAGACCACGTGCAGCATGCCCAGACGTAGCCTATTCTAAAAGTGCTTGTCCACAGGCAAGTGGTCCCTAAAATTCTTGTCTGAACGTTAAAAAACACTTGTCCCGGGCGTCGGGCAAGTGGGTTTACTCATACCTGTGAGATTTGGCTAGTTCAATAATAACCATGGGGTCTAGAGATTGTAGATTGAGTTTTGTTATTATTTTGTTGTTTCATTTATTTTACCTAATGTTGAAATAAAGTGATAAAGATAATAGTAATAATAACTAGACTTACTATGTCTGTTTAAAAAACAGAACATAGGGCTTTTCCCCATTGATTTAATGATAAATGAAAACAGAACATAGGGCTTTTCCCCATTGCTTTAATGAGAAATGAAGTTGAAATTGCATAGTGATTCAATGACTGAAAGTCAAAAATTGTTCATGCATATCACGGTAGTTTTGAGTTTAACCTAGCAATAACTGGTTTAAGCACTTTAGAAAACGCAAATTTAATAAAACTGTCAGCAAAAAATCTTTAAATGGTCCTAATAATAATATCCACACCCTAATGCGAATCATCACCAAAAATGGATCATTTCTTCATTTCACCATGAAAAACTATTCTTCAAAGTGTCATTTTTATTCATCTGTACAGGTATCTGGGACGTAGGGAATTTAAATGACCCTCAAATTTACACCCTAACCTTGAAATGGTCCTTATATTCATACCCTACGCCGTATCATCACAAAAATAAAGTCATTTCTTTACTGGACCTTTACAAACTATTATAGAAAGTTACATTTACACCCATTGAAAACATATAAATATAGATATTTACGCCTGGGACCTCAAAAATTTAAATGACCCTCCAATTTACACCCTTGACTGATTCGCCAACACATAATTACTGTCCTCCTGTAACTTGGTTAAACTTTTTCCAAATGTTTCATTCAGTTCAGTTGATCCGTTTTCAAAAAAAAGTTAGACCCATTGGTTTTTTTTTAAAGAGATATTTAGGTCTGGGTCCTCAAAAATTGAAAAGACGCTCAAATTTACACCCTTCACTGGATCGTCACTGACACGTAAAATTTCTTCCTTGTAACTTGATTAAACTTTCATTCAGATCAACTGACTGGTTTTTGAAAATGTAGACTATTTGACCTTAAATCACTTTAATTGGTCATCAGACACATATCTCACCATAGATTGACAATAAATATTAGGAGACGCATCCTTGATATATGGCCTATGCTTTGGCAAAGTACGGAAAAATTCTAAGCATAGGAAGGGACCAAAGTGACGGCCAGAAAAAAGCAGTGCAAAAGATAGGGAAAATATATTCAAGAACAAAGAAAAACTAGATTTGAACTCCTCACTGAGGACAAGTTAGGTGATACACCGCACTTTGACCCTCGAAGAAGTTAACATTTGCGTTAATATAACTTAGATAAAATTTCATAAAATAAACATTATAATATACCCACATGGAATCAAAAAATTATTGTAGGCAAACAGAATAAAAAAAACTGAATGAAAACATTTTTTTTTACGAAAAACCCATACTACCACAAGTTGAAGCAATCTTGATTACGCAACGTGTATCGCGGTCTATATAGTCATTTTGTTTTGTCGAGTATTTACAAGTTTTCTATTCGACTGGTCATCTTCGTTGAGTGGGCGTGGTTTAACCCTTTCACTGCGTGTACCCGGCAATGCCGGGTATAAACACATATTGTTGAATTGCGCGTACCCGGCACTACCGGGTATGTAGAAAAAATATTGTTAAAAATCAGGAAGAGGTTCTGCGCCCTCTATAGTTTTTTTCTATGAACTATAATTAACCTTTTATCGGAAAAAAGTATTTTCGAGTGGTTAGGCGCAAAATGGCGGGTGCACGGCCTCAAAACAGACGGTACAATGTCGACGAAGCTATGGACCAGATCTTTGCAGATACGGATAGTGAAGATAACTTTGAATTGGATGATTCTTGCATTTCTTTTCCCCCAGTCGACCATGATAGTGACGACAGTGATTCTAAGGACGAAAACGATGATTCTCTCAACTTGGGAGGCCCTGCACAGGGTCAAGGTGGCAATGCCTTGTCCGCAGATTTCCTTTCCACATTTCACACAATAGAACAGGCTAATTTGTATAGTTCTAAAATAAAGTAACCGTATGATGTTTGCAACGATGCATTTATATTTACCACCTGGATTATATAATGCATAAATAAAAACGTATGGCAAAAAGTACATCTAACAGTGATTTTCTGCAAAATTTTATATTTTCACAATTTTGAAGAAAAACTTTGATTATTTGCGGTTTTGGAATAAAACGATCAAACTAACTCATTTTTTTTTTGTTTTTATTCATCTTGTGTGTCTGCATCATTATAAAGTAAAAAAAAAAAACATTCCATAAAAATTTCATTGGGAAAAATTGGGTTTTTATCAAAATTTGAGAAAAAACAGAAATTCAAAATGGCGACTTTGAGGACACATGACTACCTAATTATGCAAAATACCAAATATCAATGTTCCTCGCGTATGCCAACCTATTGCTCGTCCCAACACACAAAAAGAATTTCGAAATAACCTCTTTTAGTATTTTTTTTGAATTATTTTAAAAATTAACTTTTTTCGTTAAAAAAAGTCACAGCACAGGGGGTGCATATACCTACAGCAGTGAAAGGGTTAACGAAGAACGACCAGTCGAATATGGCCTTTGTATAGTTGTACAGTAAACATGTGCACACAGCTAACTTTGGGCGATCTTACGTCATCGCAGCTTTCGCGGCCAGTTTAGAGTTGTGGCTTCTTCTCCGATGACAACAGACTGAGCAACAACACAAATATATCGAACTTCTTGAAATTTGGCTGTTTTGTACGATCGCCGACCGCCGCAGTATTTGAATCGATTTAAATTAATAGTTAATACTCTAAACAAAGTCATATTACCATTGACAACTATTGCTTGGCTAGGCCTACAGTAGCTTGGCTTGGCCTAGGCCTAGCTTGCCTAGCCTGGCTACGACGAATCAAGGCACTCGCGAGAAATTAGTACTGAGGCTAAATCAAATTTTGCCTTGGGTGCCCTTTTATACTTGAAATTTTGGCATTGGTGCCTTTCCATTTGGCCTTTGTGCCTTTCAAAATCATGTCATACCGGAGGCCATTTGGCCTTGCCCATAAAATCCCCAAATTCGAGGCCTAGGACTATGTACATACTGTATTCTCTGATTCTGAACATGATTTACTACTGGTACACACAAAAATATTATTTCTGTTGTGGTAAATGATTTAAGAACATATATGTGCTTAAATGTATGTAAACTGTACAATGGATTTAGTGTGTTCTTCAATTCACGCGTTTTACCGAGTGTCGGGACCCGGTTAGGCCTAGCCCTAGACGGCTGGGGGTAGGGGTTGCCGAATTACAAGCCTATTGTAGCCTTATGTACACATATACCATAAATTTCAGACATTTAAACTGCAATATATATTAATGTATGTGTTTATGTATCTTACCTTTCAAAGAAATTGCCATAAAAATTTTAATATTAAAAAAAAATATTATACGTCCAATACCGCCACGAAAATATCCGCTTGTCTAGAGTGTCTAAGTTGCCCGCTTGCGGTTCGAACAACCTTATTTGCATATCAATGAAGCACAAGACATCACAAACTAGAGAACAATAGAATCCAGTCGAGTTTCCAATCTCATTGTATAGTTGTCTCAGATATTATACATTTAAATATTAATGTTGTATTCTTTATAATTCTGTTTATTTGATGAATGTTATGTATTTTATTTCAGTAAAAATTCTGTAGAAGGCTGAACATTGCAATATGCACTTCTGAAAATCCCAGCAAACCAGTGGACTCATCCTCCTCAGCTCGATGACTATAATGTTGCTTTCGTGTTTTGCGCTCGTTCATTCTGCTGAATGGTGAGTGAAAAAACTTGTTCTTATTATGAATTTCATGTCCATTGTAAAAGGCTTTGTGGGATAACGTTCAACCTGGGTGAACACTGAGAATCAACATAATTTAAATACTACAACACAAAAACCCTAATTAGATTATTTAAAAATAAAGTTTTATTTGGAAAATTATAATTAAGAGGGTAATACAATTGGAGCGATAAAAATTAAACAATTATTTCATTTATGTCATTAATACGACAAAACAATGAGCAAAATTACTATCTAAAGTGATTTTCTAATCAGTATT